AATAATTAACCAACGTCAAAAGTCAAATACACCATTATCATTTTGCAACAAAAATCATGATCATAAAACGAGACAGCATCTGAACATTTATCTTTCTAACATTACTTCTAATAAAGGACTCCATAATCCGGTATATCAGGCTGCTTCTGCATACAACTCATTGCCAGATGACTTAAAGCACGAAGCAAGATATCAGGGATTTGTACGTAAATTAAAAAAAAATATGTAAGAAAATAGTGTAAATAATGTTTATAATATACTAAGTATATAGAGCTGTTGCATGTGCCACTCTATTGATTTGAGTTAATATATAAATATATAGTGTAAATTTAAATTATTGTAAATAAAATACCTGTTTATTTTTTTTTATTTAAGTTCTCAATACCAGTGTTTGATATATACACTGTTTAGAGAAAGAAAAAACTATGTTGAATTATATGAACTTTATGTTAAATAAATATTTCAAAAAAAAAAAAAGTAATCCAAACAGAACTAAAACAACAATCAATCGGAGTTTGGCGCAATCGCAGTTCAATCCATATCCGGGTGAAATAGACTTATGCAGTTTTAATATGGAGCTGGGTTATGTTGTCTTTTTCTTACGGCATAGAAATTGCACACGGGGTTAAATAGGGAACCCTGAGTATATTTGTAAAAAGTAATACGTATATGACTGCTACAGGAAGCGTATTATTTATACAGGGTCCGGCAATAGTGCGTCGGGTATCTGTAGCTCCTAGAATAAAAAACTTGAGAATTTTGTTTAAGTGCAGATCTAAAGTATGTACCAGGATGTATTTCTGGAAAATATTTTAACTTCTATAGGGTGGCTCAAAAAAGTGTGAGTGGACCTGGATGATTTTTATTAAATGGAACACCCTGTATATTTTTGCATTTTTGGCTTCCTTTCAGATCACTTTACATAGCCCTAAGATATAAATAAATATATTTCGGTAATTTCAGAGATATTAAAAAATAAATCAAAAATATGTATTTTTCAGCCCTTCTTAAAAAAATTATTAAAAATACAAGAACTGTTCTGAAATCAAAACCATATTAGGTATTTACTTTAGATAGTCTGTTCTTACTTTGCTATAAATATGGTAACCGTAAATCATACAGGATGTTCAATGTTCTACGCCAAACTGTCTAAAATATAAAATATTTTTTCTTGTTTTTTTTTATGGAACATCGTGTATATTAAGATGGAGAGTTAAAAAATAAACATTTTTTGTATTTAGAGTAAGTCAAAATTTTTAACGGTTTTGCAGATACACGCAGTATTATTTCATATGGCGCATGTGGGGTATTTGACACAGATAGTTGATCGAAATTTTTTTATGTAGACCTTATATAAATTATTGCTATTTTCAATTAAAGAGGAAATAATATGAACAAAATAAAGGACAATTCGTCGATTCTAAAAAAAGAAAGAAAAATCACTGTTCCAGTGTTTCCACGGTCAATGCCACTGATGCCAGTAGTAATATCGCAACTAATACTACTAATGCTACGACTGATCCGCGAGAGCAATGCCCATACCACTCAAAGTCGCTACTAATGCCAAATTGTGCTATACTTGCTAATGGCACTAATGCACGATCGCTTTATACACAACAATGCCATCGCGGTTTACACCTCGCGTTAGTATATATCACTGATTGGCAAATTAGGGGAAACCAAGAATGTTTTCTCTCATTTATCAACAAAGTCGCAAAAGTCGCAATATTTTATTTTACTGTATGAAAGCCCAATGTTTACTAAGTAAAACGTATATAGACAATATGCTGAATTCTTCGAAATGCACAACTAAATCTCTAAACACCGGGGGTCTAAGTATAATAAAAAAATGTCACAAATTTAATCAAATTTTCTGAACGCCTAACTTTTAGTTGCAAAAAATCGTTAGTATAGAGAATATCAAAATAAATAATACGTTTTTAGAATACATACCTGCAGCTTGCTTGTGTCATTTCAATCAAAACAATAATATAAACGTAAAAAGAGCACAAGAACAACAACAATTTATAATTTTAAACATAAAATTTAGCCATTTAACTCTTATCTGTGAGAAGTAACAACTTTGACGTTTCGTTGAAACAAATGAATGCAACTAAACACACCCATAGCAACGCCATTCATGGCAGACATGATTTAACTTATCATTTATCTTTTTTTGGGAAATCTTATACACATCTGCTTTTTCGAATTTCGATCACCTTTTTCATGCTAATACCCCACCGTGTGGCGCTTTCAATGGTAAAATACCAGAGAAAAATCATTGGGTGGCTTTGATAAAAATTTACCGTGGAAAATGCCATATGAAATATAAAACCGCAAATATCTGCGAAACCGTTAAAAATTTTGAAATACCCTAAATACAAAAATGCTCCTTTTTTAATTCTCAGTCTATTGAAAAAATAATATACAGGGTGTTCCATTTAAAAAAACGAAGAAAAATTATTTTATATTTTAGAAAGTTTGGCGTAGAATTTTGAACATCCTGTACAATTTGCGAATTTCATATTTATAGCAAAGTAAGTACAGACCATCTAAAGTAAATACCTCATATAGTTTTGATTTCAGAACAGTTCTTGTATTTTTAATAATTTTTTTAAGAAGGGCTGAAAAATACATATTTTTGATTTATTTTTTAATATCTCTGAAACTACCGAAATATATTTATTCATATATTAGGGCTCTGTAAAGTGATCTGAAAGGAAACCAAAAATGCAAAAATATACAGGGTGTTCCATTTAAAAAAAATCATCCAGGTCCACTCACACTTTTTTGAGCCACCCTATAGACGTTAAAATATTTTCCTGAAATACATCCTGCTACATACTTTAAGTCTGCACTTAAACAAAATTTTCAAGTTTTTTATTCTAGGAGCCACAGATGCCCGACGCACTATTGCCGGACTCTTTATATTTATAACTAAAAAGTCATAAATTACTTTCAACGATGTTCAGGTAAGTTTTACTGATAATCTGTACAAAAATATCTAGTTTGTTTCTATAAAATTATGAAATTGTATGGAATGGGACATATTGTCCCATTCGTATTCTTTCTTGGAACATATATGACCCTTTAGTAATGAAAAGTTCTTTTTCCAGTAAACGTAAATTGACCGAGAAAGAGTTGGTTAGGTTAGGCGGTGGCTTATAAATCACCCTTCTGATATAGAATCGGAAGCTTCGGAAGAGGAACCGTTTCCTGCTAGTGAGTCTGAGTATGAAGCCTCAAGCTCAGATTTTGAAGAGGAAGTAAAATCGAGCTCAAAGAAAATAAAACGGGTAAAACTAAATGATAATTTATTAGAAAGTGAAGATGAAGCTGATGTAGACAACAACCAAACTTCTGTGCAAAATAATGCAGCTAAATTAAACGAGACTTCGTCAGAAAGTGAAGGTGAACTTAACAATGAAAATCCTACGCAAATGGATAAGGATGCCGTCAATAAAAATTGTTCCATAAATTATTCTTGGTGTGATCCAGAAGATATAAACTTTGTTCCACGTAAGATTATTCCTGAACAGAAGTGTAGTTTGCGTCCCCCTTATATCCTGCAACAGATCTTCGACAGAATTAGACGTATTTCTAAAGCTAATGCCCCGCAGTTTTTTATTTTTATGGCCGAATGCATAAACAAAAGATTAGATATTTTGAGGCAAAGTTCTAAAAATAAGATTATACGACAAACTGATCCTTCAGAACTCATGATTGTTTTGGGTTGTAGGTATGCTAATTATGACCTACAATCGTTTACCCGAAATGCATGATTACTGGGCTTCAAACAAGTCTCTAGGAAATGCAGCTATAAAATCAACAATTTCAAGAGATATATTCTTCACTCCAAATTATATTTCAACTATCCAGAAAAACCCAAAGATGCAAATAAAATATACTACATTGAATTGTTAGTTTCATGGTTGAAAAATACATTTTAAAAATCGAGGACCGAAAGCACCCATCAATCGATTGATGAGTCGATGACGAAGTTTAAAGGACGGTCGAGTTTAAAACTATACTTATCCCTGAAGCCTATAAAAAGGGGGATTAAAATTTGGCAAAAGTTCGATTCAGTATCTGGATATGTATATGACTTCAACATTTATCAAGGAAAAGAACTCGACGCCATGGCAGATAAGCCGTTACGAGAAAGAGTAATTAGAAAACTGGCATTGACAATACGCGAACCACATACTACGTTGTGTTTCGACAGGTTTTTTACATCTGTTCAATTATTACATGATCTTCCATTCGCTGCAGTGGGAACATGTATAGCAAATTGAAAAAAATTGCCCACGCTTGTAACAGGACTGAAAAATCGTGGGGATTATAAATTTCACTCTCAATGGAAAGATACAAAAGAAGTTCTGACCGTATCCAATTGTCACCGTCCAGAAGTTGTTAACATAAAAGTCTTTGGATATTCTGCTCTGCACCAATGCTGGCAGATTCAGGATCGGACATAATAGTTTTAAAGCGACATGGAGGTTGGCGATCAAGCTCGGTTGCTGAAGGTTACATTGACAATTCAATTGAACAGAAAACCGAAATAAACAATTTATGCATTAGAGGGTGAATGACAATACAACTATAAATTTAAATGCTGAAACCTCAACTGATACTACTAAAACATTTAACAATCGTTTCATGCATTCAACTCAACAAAACACACCTTTCAGTCATGCTCAGCTGCACTTACATCAATATCCTCAATCACAACTAAAAACATACACTTCATTACAACCATTTAATGAAACTCAAACACAGCCTCATTATCCACAATTAGGGGATCAAACAAATTTGATCTCAGGAGAGTCCAGTTTTGATTTGAGCCAGTATATTACTCTAAATGAAAAGCAAAATTAAGAAATTTGTTTTGTGAAAAAATTATTGTTAAATCAGGTAAGCAATCGTCTGTTAAGTAATTAAGATTTTTTATTCGTATTATCTACAAAGCTAAATTTACTCCGATCGTGGATGTTATTACAGACATTGCAACAGTTACGGAAAAGCCATTCGACACTGACACTGACACTGACAAATGCTGATGTCCGGTAATAATTCTAGTTTTGAACAGGAAAACCCGTGTAATGATTCAGGGTCTAGTTTTAAACCATTAGGTAATCCAATCGATAAATCAATATTTTTAAATAAAAAAAATAATTAAACATTATTTCTAGATACTGATGTACAATCGGATTCATCCTCAGACGACTTACCATTAGCAAGACTAATAATAGACAAAAGACCCAAGTGCGATCTTTTAAAACCTAAAAAAAGTAGTAGTAAAAGGCAATGTAATTTGATAGGCGAAGAAGATAGACAACAGATGTTTCAACGATTTTTGTTTGAAATGGACTGGAAACAACGTAAAACTTTTGTTGCAGCAATGGTTACGAAATCTGAAACAAAGCAGAAGACTACTAAACAAAAATCAAGAAGACAAACAACGTTCTCTTATCACTTACGAATTGGTGAAAATTTATTTGCAGTTTGTAAGAAACTATTCCTTTCAACTTTAGGATTGAATGAGTGGAGCGTCAGTAACTGGGTAAGGAATAGTAATGCTGGTATACCGAATATTATTGAAAAATATCAGGAAAAAACGTCAGGAAATCAGGAATTTTTTTGAAAAACTTCCTAAACTACCCCCTCATTACCTGTAGGGCTTCTACCAGTAAATTATATCTAGAACCAATATTTAGATCATACTCTGAAGTTTATGAAATTTACAATAAAGAAGTTGAAAGTCCTAGTGGTAAAGATGTTTTCGTGGCGGAAATTAAGAAATTAAACATCGATATCTTTCACCCAAGCAAGGATCAATGTGATCTCTGTTTTTCTAATAAATTGAGTCATGGTGATAATGAAACCTATAATATACACATTGAAGAAAAAAATAAAGCAAGAAGAGAGAAAGAAAAAGATAAGGAGGATTCCGTTGCCGAAAACGCTGTGACTGCATTTACTGTCGATGTACAAGCCGTGCTGCTCGTACCACAATTGCATGCAAGCATGCTTTATTTTAAACAAAAATTAGCATGTCACAACTATACGATTTATAACATAGCCACAAAAGCCGTGGTTTGTTACGTCTGGCATGACGGCGAAGCGAAGGTGGCATGGAAAGCAACTGTTTTGCGACATGTTTAGATGATTTTTTAGATAATGAAATACCTCAAAAAGCAAAAAATAAACCGATAATATTTTATAGCGATGGATGTTCAGCACAAAATCGGAACGCTTTGCTATCCAATGTGCTGTTGAATTATTGATTGCATAGAATACCGGATGCGTCTCAAAAGTGGTTCACCCCCTATAACTTTTTTATTTTTTCAGATAAAATAACGATATTTGGTACGTTAATATATGACATAAATTGGGATTGATTGACGTATTTACTTGTTTTCGGTCACTTCCGGTTTCACCGGAAATGACTACAACTTTCGATTTTTAAATGGTACCCTCGGTATTTTTTTACTTTATTCGATAGAAAATGACACTCTGAGTAGAATGACATATCATATGTCAACTTTTGACATTTTCGCATATGGTTTAATTGTAATTGTAACACGCGGTTCATAACGACAATTTGACTCGAAATACCAAGTGTGTGGTATCAATATATTCATAAAAAAATGCTTTTTCCAAATATGCTAATGAGCCACCCTCGTTCCATTTGAAAAAATTGAGATATGATTAAAAATACGATTTGAGCATCTTTTAACCGGCCAGGACAAGACACTAAAAACATTAGACGATCAAAACTATTTTTCCAAGGCTCCTTGATTAAAAATTATTGTTTTTAACACAGCCATGGCACTCTAGATTGAAATTTAAAATAGAATTTGTTTTTGAGTGACTATGTCAAAAATTGACATATGATATGTCATTCGATTCAGAATGTCATTTTCTATCGAATAAAGTAAAAAAATACCGAGGGTGCCATTTAAAAATCAAAAGTTGTAGTCATTTCCGGTGAAACCGGAAGTGACCGAAGACAATTGAATACGTCAATCAATCCCAATTTGTGTCATATACTAACATACCTAATCTCGTTGTTTTGTCTGAACAAATAAAACAGTTATAGGGGTGAGCCACTTTTGAGACGCACCCGGTAGAGATCATTCAAAAATATTTAATTAAAGGGCACTCTCAAATGGAGTGCGATAGCGTACACTCAAGTATTGAAGCCAGAAAAAAAATAGAGATTCTCCATCCAATTACGTTCAGGTTATTGAAGATTCAAGACGTCACTCCAAATCAGGACCCTACAAGGTAAAATACGTCAATCATACATTTTTCTTAAACTACTCTCATCTAAAATATTTTACCTCAATACGTCCTGGAAAAAAAGCAGGAGACCCTTGTGTTACAGATATCAGAGCATTAAGATACACAAAGTCGGATGGTATTCAATATAAGTTAGACTTTGAGGATAACTGGACTCCACTTTCATCACGTCAGTTGTTGTTCAGTAACATTGCAATGGACAAAAAATTATAAGCTAATTCCCTGCCAATCTCTCGTGATAAATACAATAATTTACAAACTTTTAAAACTGTATATTTCATAGAGATTATCATAACTTTTATGACTAACTAAGTCACGAATGAGTTTTGTATTTTTTGAAATTTGTTAGTTAAAATTAACGTTTAATTTGTTTTTTAGCGATTAGTTGCAAGACTTGCAAGACGTTTGATAATGTTCCTAAGTTAGATACTTAAAATATACATTATTAACCAATAAAATGCACCTGGTTTTATTTTACTAAACACGTATCTCACTAAATCAATTAAAATTGATTTTAAAATCCTCGTATCTCAACTTTTTTTTAAAATTTTTTGTAGTTAGCAAAATTTGTATGTTCTATTATCCTTGGTACTTCTCAAAAGTGTCACCTATAACTATTTTATTTGTTCAGGCTAACAATTTGTTATGTTATTATATGACACAAATTGGGGTGATTGACGTATTCAATTTCGGTCCTTCCGGTTTCACCGAAATGACTACAACACGATTTTAAATATATATATATATATATATTTCATAGAGATTATCATAACTTTTATGACTAACTAAGTCACGAATGAGTTTTGTATTTTTTTTCAAATTTTGTTAGTTAAATTAACGTTTAATTTGTTTTTTAGCGATTAGTTGCAAGACTTGCAAGACGTTTGATAATGTTCCTAAGTTAGATACTTAAAATATACATTGTATTAACCAAATAAAATGCACCTGGTTTTATTTTACTAAACACGTATCTCACTAAATCAATTAAAATTGATTTTAAAATCCTCGTATCTCAACTTTTTTTCAAATTATTTTTGTAGTTAGCAAAATTTGTATGTTCTGTTATCCTTGGTACTTGTCACAAGGTACCTGTATTAAACTAAATGTCAAAATTTCCAAACATAGAACAGGTAAAAATGTGGTACGTTTTTTCTATTTCCTGGAAATTGTGTTTTTTTAGATACAAGGTTTTGACATCTGAACGACGATATGCGGTTTAATTAAATTTAGTAAAAACTGAAAACACTCGTCGTTCATTCTTAAATAATTTTTTAAGTCATTTGCACTTGAATTTCGAAGTTCTTTTGTAAGTTCCATGTGCGACAAAGTACTACGTTTTTGCAACCATTCTTTCACCCAAATTTTCTTTCTTTTGGTTAGTTAATGGATACCTTTAGAGATTTTCGTATAACGCCTCAACCTTTTGATGTTAAGAACATGATATTCGACGATTTTTTAGACTTTAAAGCCTTTTCAGTAAATTCGTTTAACTTTAACCAAATCCTCTGGAGGAGTATTTGCTGCCTCCGTTATGTCAAGGAACATCAGTCAAAAGTAGTTTAGAAAAAATACTTTGCAGATGAGTTCACTGAAGTAGATTGCTTTGTAAAAACTCGGGGTCGTCTAAAATAAAAACAGCTAGGCAAAGCCTATACAAGTCCACTAGCCATTAGCGAGGCAAAATGGGAAGATCTACAGAAAATGTGTAAGGATTCTACTATACCCAGAGCATACCATAATTTTTATGAAGCCTTGAAAACAAATAAAAATGTTCGAGATACTCTCCCAGAACCAGATGCCGAGGAAAGCGAGAGTGATGAAGCCTAAAATAAAAGTTAAGTGTTGTTTTCCTTCGATAGTTTCTGTTTATTTTTCTACTTATCTGAATTTTGTTTAATTTAAAATAAGCTTTTGTAAGTTTTTATGACAAATAAAACAGCATTTTTTTTAAATAATGTTTAGATACTTTTAACACGAAAAATACATATTTTATAATTATTTTATACTATAATAAAACTAAAGAGGCAGTTGACGTAGGAGATCAAATGTCTAGAGAATATTCATGTGTTTGTTCGACTAGGTGATTTAGAGAGCCTATTAGGATTTTTATGGATTATTGATATCGCTGCACTCAATGCCTATATTATATTTACTAAAAAGTTCCAATTGGAAATATAAGAACCGCATTAAGGCGCAGGATATTTTTACAAAACTTGGCACAAGAACTTGCGCTTTTAAAGTTCTAAATAGGAAACAAAATAGTAACAGTTTTCAAAAAACTGAAAAACAGGAATAGATTTACTTCTTGTCGAAAGCCATGCCACAGTTCCCGAAAATCCTGCTAAAGAGATTTAACCTAATTCAAACCAAAGATGCGGCTTTTGTACCAGATCACGTGACAAAAAAACAAAAATATTATGTATTACATGCAACTTGCACTTCTAAACGTTCTAAACAGGAAACAAAGTAGAAAGGATGTTCACAAAAACCATAAAAACAGCAATAGATTTATTTCTTGTCGAGATCAATGCCACAGTTCCCGAAAATACTGCAAAAGAAATTTAAACAAGTCCAAATCGAAGATGCGGCTTTTGCACCAGATCACGAGACAAAAACAAAAATATTATGTATTACATCCAAAAAAAAATATTTTGTATATTTGCCGCAATGAATGTAAAACATTTTTATGCACTGACTGCCAAAATAATGTGTAGAACAGAATCAATAAAATAGATTTTTAAAGTTTTTATTTCTATAAGTGATTTATTCAAAGTGCATTTAGGTATGACCAAACCACGAGTTTCTAAGATACTGCGGATGGGTAAGTTGAGTTACCGTCCTGATTTCTATGAATAACTATCGTGTATTTTAGCAACACATTCAACCTGCATTTACGAAGAAACTTCGGATATATCAAGTGAAATACTTGATGATTTAGGGAACACTATACAACAAATTAATAATAATAAGATTCTTGTATGCAAATGTAATGATAATAAATGTGTGTCACTTGCCACCAATTATGACACAATCAATCCAGTAAAGAAAGTACAACAATATAAAAAATGGTATTGGTGCCTTTTCACAAGGATGATAGACATGGGTGTTACAAATGGTTGCGTAAATTACAATATACAATGGACAAAAGAGGATATCAATCAAGGAATTTCCTATGGAGACTGCTTATCCCTATTTAAAAACTGGTAATGGGTTGAGGATTGACCGTTGACGACCGTTCAGCCTTCCAAGTACATTAAAAACAATTGTACCAGATGACAAAGATTGACGGAAAACTCCATTGACAAAAGGGAAAAACAAAGATGTTAAATGTTCAACAGCAAAGAAAAACCATGAACATTTTACCAAAAATGTAATGTAACGCTTTACATGCCTGATTGTTCTAACGATTTTTACAAAAAATATCTCTTATTTTTTATAAATTAAAATTAATATAATTTTTTTATAAATTAACATTAATATAATTTTCTTATAAATTAAAATTAATATAATTTTTTTATAAATTAAAATTAATACAAATTAATATAATTAATAATAATTGGAAGGAAATGTAAGTGTAGCGAAATTGTATGAACTGATCTATTGCCATAGCGTCGGCGTTTTCATTTTGTTTCTGTCGTTGGTCGTGGTTGGTCGTTGCCCTCGTGGTTAAATTTTGGTCAAATTTTTCTCTTATTTTTATTAGTAATTATAATTATGTCTTTAGTAGAGACAGAATTCTGCGAGATCGACGATGTAAGTGGGTTATTATTAGATATAATAACCAACTATGAACATCTGTACAATCTCGAACACCGGGATTACAGAAATGTATTAAAAAAATACCAAAGTTGGGTGGAAAT